GGGGTGGGGGGACTTGTTATCTGCAAGACTGAGTTCATTTGGGTGGGAAAATCTCCAAGGCAGGACTCTCTTTTCTAAACAACCCAGGTCCAGGTCCTGGATGCCCAGGGTGACCCAGACCTTCATTCAACTGAGTACCAAACCTTGGGGGCTCTGATCCCACAGGAAGTAGGCAAGTGCGGCAGGAAGGGAAGATTGGAAAGGTTTCAGCTCCCCGTGGGGAGCTGTAGGGGACACTCTGGGAACCAGGGCATAGGTGGGGATGAAGGGTGACCAGTTACCTTGCCAGTGACATGGTCTGGAGCGACAGCAGGGGGATGGCTGCAGGGCAAGTCTGGGTTCAGAGGACCCGTGCCCTGGGGCATGGGGCAGTCCTTGTGGGCACTTGTGAACAGATCTGGAAATACAATGACAGGAGGAACTCAGAAAAACCGCACACTCTCCTCCTTATGGGGCCTGTTCAAGCCAGCCCCGAGAGATGGGCACGACGATATTATCATCCCTTGTCATCATGTAGGAAACAGAGACCCAAGGCCATGGCAGATGAGGAGACCGGCTAGATCTCCTCCCGCCTGATCCCCTCCATGAGAATTATCGCCCATCCGCCTGTTCCTCCGTTTCCCCTAATTCCAGCACCCACACTCCAGAATTTTTGATCTCATGGAGACCTCCAATCCATTTCCCCTCCTCTTTTCCACTAGCCTCTGGTGCCCTCACTCCCCTCCCGGCCCAGCCCTGGCCCAGCCTGCGAACTGAGCTCTCCTTCGCGGACGCCCTCAAGTCTCAACCGTGTTCAGTTCAGTCTCCCCTCTGCCTGCTCTGCGCCTGGACCTGCATGTCGCTGGAGAAAGTCACTGGCCTCGCACAAGACACCGTCTGGGGACCCTTCTACCTGTCTCCCATCACGGCTAAGTTTGCTTCCTGCCAGGTGGACTCCCTCGGGCGTCTTTCCTTCTCAAACCAGCAACCCTGGCACTCCCGACCCCACGCCCTGCTTCTGGCTCTTCCTCGTCCCTCACTGAGATCCAGAAGCCTTCGGCAGGCTCCATCCTGGCCCCATTTTTCTACCTCAAATCATTACCCCACCCGCATTTTGCCCACACCATCTGCTCTCCCTCCTATGACAGAGGAAGAACTATCCCTACCCCATCCGAGCCGAGCCCAGACCAGCCGTCCCAACCAGGGACTGGGACCTGGCCTTGCCCCCCACCCAGGACCTCTGCTCTCTGTCTGCTCTTGTGATCGTCCGGTCTGTCTGTCTCCCTCTTGGCCGCCGGTGTAGTGGTCCCGACCCCAGCTCCCCCCAGCTCCGTGTCCAATCCTCCAACCCCTTCCAGGCCACGCTTAGAGTTGTGTTCGACCCCCTGGACTCCCATTTTCTCCTCCACCCTTTTCTTTTAATTTTTTTTTAACGTTTATTTATTTTTGAGACAGAGAGACAGAGCATGAACAGGGGAGGGGCAGAGAGAGAGGGAGACACAGAATCGGAAACAGGCTCCAGGCTCCGAGCTGTCAGCACAGAGCTTGACCCGGGGCTCGAACTCACGGACCGTGAGATCACGACCTGAGCCCAAGTCGGCCGCTTAACCGACTGAGCCACCCAGGCGCCCGCTTAACCGACTGAGCCACCCAGGCGCCCCTCCTCCACCCTTTTCGGGTCGCCTCTCCGGAGAAAGCCCTTGACTACCTGGCCAAGTCCAGCGGTTCATTGGCTTCTCAGCCCCTCCCTCCCTCTCAAGCCACGCCCACCTCGGGCTTCCCTCCCACCTCCGTGGTCCCCCTTCCGCTCCCTCCCGGCCCCTCCTCATCTCCCTCCTCTCTCCCAGGGCATCTCATCGGAGAGCGAGCGGCTGCCGCCCACATTCACACCCACAGCCCTGACTCTGCTTGAGCCCCACACTGAATTTCCAACTCCCTTCACGGGTGCCCGGCAGGTGTCTCAAGGAAACTCGGGCCCATCTTCCTCCACTTCTCCAGTTTTAGAAAATGATGCAATGGTCCACCCAGCTGTACCAACCAAAAATCCAGTTTTCTCCGCGCTGCCTTCCCCCAACCCTCCCAACCAGCAAGTCCTACTGGCTCTCTCTCCAACCTCCCTTCCGGATTTACCCGTCTCCATCCCCACCACTGCTGCCCACGAGGGAGCATCACCCTCTCTCACCTGGACCACAAGAGGGCCACAGCCTCCTGCTTCCTCTCCTGGCACGCAGCCCACTCTCCACCCGGCCGCACAGGGATGCTACAGGTCTGACTGCACCTTTGCTGAAAACCTGCCGCTGGCTTCCTTCCATTGAACCTGACGGGAGAGCCAGCCCCTCACCCTGCGCGCCAGCCTGGTCCCTGTTTCTGCCACTCTGGCCTCCCTGCTGCTCCCCAAATGGCCCACTTGTTCTTTGTCCTTGCTATCCCCTCCACCTGGAACACCATCCCCAGATCTTCCTGAACCGTGTCACTCAGGTCTCGGCTCAAGGTCACCTCCTCAGGGGGCCCTCCCTGCCCCGGGGCCAAGCTTCCTTTACAGCAGCCGGCACTCTTTGACGTTCTTGTGTTTTGAAGTGTCCGATCCCTCTGGGAATGCGAGACCATGAGAGCAGAGACCATAGCAAAGACCAGAGAACGGGGCCTGGCACCCAGAGGGTGTTCTGTCGACACTGTGGAATGACCTCCGCCTGTATTATAGCAGTTAGCACAGGCTGTCTGCTAAAAGCATGTGTGGGAGGGCAGGGACCAGTCCCATCGTGATGCATTCTCAGGGCCTACCACATAGTAGGCTTGCAGAAGTTGCTGAAGGGATGACAGGCTGAACTGAAGAAGCGGGGTTTGCTGGACTGAATTCTTGGGCTGAACTGAAGAGGACTCCACCTCCAGAGGGTAACTGGAAACACCCTTACATTCACTTGAGTAAGCATTTCTTTCTGATGCATTCCAAAGCATTAGCTGAGCACCTGCTACGTGCCAGGCTCTGTTACGGGCACTAGGAACACTGACAAACAATGACAAGCAAGACGGAGATGGTTTCTGCCCTCACGGAGCTGACATTCTAGTTGGTTCATTCATTCATTCATTCATTTATGCATCCATTCATTTCTTCTCCCACTAAGCATCCATTTAATACATGTCTGTACCATCCAAGCACCTGGGCGCAGAGGCGGGATTAAGACTTCATCCCTGCCCTCTGGGAGCTCCCAGTTGCATGGAAACCAGTCCCAAAGCCCCTCATTCAAACACAAGGCTGATGGGGGGGGGGGCAGGAGCACCCACGAGTGCTCCCGTTCTTCACCCCCTCTCCTGGTGTGATGGGACGGACTCCTCACGTGGATGGGGGAGCTAGCCAGGAGGGGGTGCCAGGAGGAAGGTGTTGTGGGCAGAGGGAGGGGTGTGCAGCTTGCACAAAACCGTGGAGTCTGGGAGACTGGAGGAGCAGGGGTGTGTGGGCCGTGGCAGGGAGGGGGATCTCTGCAGGACGCTGGTCCCAGCCTGCAGCGTCCCTGTGCTGGACGCTAGCTCCCACCACCCTCCTCTGGCTTAGGTAGCCCAGGCAGAGTCTGCAAGAGCAGATGGCATGGAAGCAAGCAGGGCTTCCTGGAGGAAGCGGAGGTGGAAGGTATCAGGTGCTCCCAGAGGCAGGGCTGGGCCGTGGGCTGAAGTGTGACTAGGGGGCTTTCGGAGGTGTTGGCAGGGAGGGGAGGATGGGGAGCCGGAGGACGGCATGAGTGCTCCACTGGTCTCACTTGTGCCTGTGGATCGCTTTCTCCTCCTGTTTTTGCGCATTCACAGCCCCTGCCCCATGGGCTTGGCTCCCAACTGGCAGCAACCGTGTCTCCTTCGGGTGAGCCACTCTCTGGCAACCGGAGGCGAGTTTATGACCCTTTGTTTGGGGTTGAAAAGCTCAGAGTCCCCCCCGCGGGATGGGGCTGCAGCCACCCTCGCAGGGCGACAGAGCCTTTGCGGCCCCTCTCCTCCACCTTGCTCTCTCCATTCCTTCACTGGTTTCCTCTGGAAGATCTCCTTCATACACCAGCTGCACCCAAATCCTCATTCCAGGGTCTGCTCCCGAGGAGCTGGTCCAGAGACAACTGGGTGACACTCTGGTGCCAGATTGCCCCGTTCAAATCCCAACTCTGCCCTTTACTACCTGTGGGACCTTGACTTTGCCTCTTGGAGCCTCCATTTCTTCATCTGTAGAATGGACAGTTGACTGTTCTTGTTCTCTAGGTATTGCCTACCAGGATCCAAAGCAGAACAGAGACGTACCGGGTACCCCACTTGGAAGAAAGCCACTGTCAAGGGCAGGGGAAGCAAACACCCTCTTCAAGGTGGTTGAAACAGGCTGTTCTACCCCAGCCATCCACCACCCTTCTGACGCTGCTGACTTCACAAGTGAAGTGAGGGGGCTCTCAGAAATCTGGGATGCCTGCACAAGAGAGGCCAGCATCCTTACCCACCCGCCCCACCCCTGGCTGGGTGTCTGCACAGCTGGGGAGAGACAGCTGGGCCGGGAAGAGGAGTGGAACGGCCTGCCTTACGAGTCTCTCAAGGGTCAACAGGACACTGAGGAAGGGGCCGTGTTTGACTTCTGCTGGTGCCCCCTAAGAGGGCTGCATGAAGGACAAGGGGACCCCAGGCCTCAGAGGCTGGAAGGTGGGCAACTTTAGGGGTCAAGGGAGTTGGGCTGAGAATGGAAGAGGTCAAACCAGGTCAGATCTCCCTGCAGTGGGCAGGCCCCCCAGATGGCCCCTGGCAGAACTCACACATGCTAATCTGGGACCTGTGGTCCCCCTGCCACCTCAACGTCCACCTCTCTCCCTCTTGCACTCCAGCCACACTGATGGCTCAGACACGCCCAGCACATTCCTGCCTCAGGGTCTTTGCACTGGCTGCTCAGTTCCTCCAGCTGGAACTCTCTCCTCCCACATAGCCGCAGGTTCACTCCCACGCTGCATTCGGGTCTCTGCTCAAATGTTAGAACCTCAGCGAGGTCTGCAGCCATTTTGTTTAATGACACCTGTCCTTTCCTAACCCGTGATCTTATGGTGCCCATCACCACACAGTATATGTCCCTTTCCTTATTCACAGTCTTTCAGTAGACCATCAGCTGTCTGCAGGCTGGTCCTCGTCAGCTTTATTCACCACCACAGCCCCAGCACCTGCCACAGGGCCTGCACATTGCTCACTAAACTTTGCCTCAACAGGGGTGCCTGGGTGGCTCAGCTGATTAAGCGTCCAACTCTTGATTTCAGCTCAGGTCATGATCTGATGGTTTGCGAGTTCAAGCCCCACATCAGGCTCTGCGCTGACAGTGCAGAGCCTGCTTGGGATTCTCTGTCTCCCTCTCTCCCTGCCCCTCTCTCTCTCTCTCTCTCTCGAAATAAACATTAAAAACAATTTTTTTTTTGGCCTCAACAGTGAGCCGGTTTGAGCCAACAGAGATCACTAGAACTCCAGATGGATAAAAATATCTTGGCCACTCTTCTACAAGTTCCTCATGCCAGACCCCAACATGTCAGAGGGCAATGGGACCCAGAGAGAGGAGGGAGGCCCGCAGAGGGAAAAGCAGGCTGTGGCCCTCAGGTGCGGCCAGTCCTGACTGGACGGCCAAAGGGAACACCAAATAGGGTGTGAGGTGAAAGTCTCCATCCACCCTGGACGGGACTCAGGATCC